CCTTTGTCCCTTTGCCTTATTTCTAGGGCTGTGCAATATTACCGGTAAACCGGTATATACCGGTACAGTATCTCGCGATACGATTATCGCGATATGGTTCAGATTCTACAATATATTGGATCATCCAGAGTTAGCTCCCTTTGAATCATCTGCCCTTGCCCTCCACGGCAACAAAATGTGCTCTAAAAGTGCCAAATATACTTTTATTTCAGTTGGTTTCATGTAACATATTACAAGTGAAAGTTTCTTTATAAGTTGCGCCATAAGTGCCAAATATTTTACAAAATGCTTTAAGTTTTGCGGGTTTGAATGGTTGAATATGTGACGTTTTGGAGGAATTAAGTGGCCTCAAATGCACCAATCTTTTGAGATAAGCACGAGTTATGAATGGCAACTTCTCGTTGTGAAGGATCAAGCATACACTCCGAAACGCCGTGTTATTCACAGTAAAGAAGTTGACATCCATAAATCTTGATTTTCGTATGCCTTCCACTTCTAAATGCTCTTCTAAGATTTGACAAATCTTTTATTTGGACCTATTAGTATGGCCTCTGGCTCTGAAAGACCATTTCACATTATTTTGTTATTTTTGTTTGTTTCATAATGGGACATATGTCATCAGGCTAAAGTTTTATACACTTTGTAGGACTGTATAATGACATTCTAGTCAAGGATGTTAGTAACTGGAGGTCACATGAGATTTTAAGCTCAAGTAGTTCACCTAAATCATGTTTTTGTTTCTTTTTGCAATAGTTCATGTCAACACGTATTTATGCTGGAGTTGAATGAATCACTGACATACAGTACCAATAATTACATACTGCATTGAAGTGCACACTGACCATGAAAATCATGTTATACTATTACCTGTATCATTATGTTCGCAGAACTTTGTTGCAATACAGTACTTCATTTAAACATTCTATACTAAGGCTCTATATTGCTTTATTTATCTGTAAACCATTAACGTAAAGCCATTCACAATGGAGACGGGGTGACTGAAGGTATGGTGTACCAGCAACTAAGAAGATGATGTCGCACACAGAGCTATTATGATTTTATGCTGTATGCACTTGGACAGAAAGATTCCAGTCAGTATATCACAATATGTATTGCAGTATCTCTTAAATTATTGCAATATATCGCGATATGAGAATCAGGGCAATATCCATCCCTACTTATTTCAGATTCCGACTTTCATCTGTCCACTGTCACACAGTGATTCTATATTTCTGACCTGTAGGCCCGTAGTACAGGTAAAAACGGCTATACTGGGCGAGTGGTACACGCACATTTGCGTTTTGACAGTGCAAAAAACGTCTTATTTTAAGCTGCGATTTCAAACAGGTAGCCGAACAGTGAACGACAGTGAAAAAACATCAATATGTGTGAATTGTCCTCCACTTTCCACGTGCAAATCATTGCCATTATGTGGCAGGTGGATTTCCATATTGACAATTTTAATAAAAATGTATCATTTGTAACACAATGTATCGGACGTTAAAGAACGCAATAATGACATTTCAACGGACTGATGTGTTTTTGCATACTGTTAAGAAAGTTTGTAAAATATTCAGTTGTATATATATCAAACAATAACGCGGATTTTGCAGCTTTTAAGAAATCGTGTTACCAATAGCTTGACCCTGCATTAATGACTCCGAGTATTTCAAATCGTTGTGTTCCTCATCCAAAGGAAAGCTGACATCCTAAAACTCTCTACCTAACACACCTTGTATATTCTATCACCTGGGCAACTGCAATGTTTTACTGAGTATCAGCTGTCACACAACAAGATACAGGACATTTTGACAAGCACGTTATATCTGTAATTATCAGCTGTCACACAACAAGATACATGGCATCTTGACAAGCACGTTATATCTGTAATTATCAGCTGTCACACAACAAGATACATGGCATCTTGACAAGCACGTTATATCTGTAAATATCAGCTGTCACACAACAAGATACAGGACCTCTTGACAAGCACGTTATATCTATAAATATCGTACCCGTAATGAGGCTGACAATTGTGCCGACGAAAACGCAAATGAAGGCCCCTGTGGCTGTGTAGTTGACGAAGGAGAGGTGGTAGATACCGAGGCCGTGGTCCCTTAAAGGAAACATTATTGGTTAAACTTGATGTGGTAAAACACAAAACAACCTGTCATAGTCGTCAGATGAGTCAACAGATCACAGCAAAACGTCCACAATATTCGGTATGTAAATTATAATCTAACTGATTACCGTAGTCGTGCTTAACCTCGAAAATGTCGGGTACACCTAGATCTAAAGGCAACCAAAAACTTTACAAAACACGAATTACACAGATACCATCCACATACATTCAGCCTGTTTCTCCGGTACTTGTACTTAGCTGAAAATATAGCTAACTACCGACTTTTTGCCCAAACAACAACTTTTTGATACTTTTTATTGCAAGCCGCTGCGGTAATTACTGTCGTTCATATTTGCTAATCGTTTATAAAACTGTCAAATGAGAGAACGTATCAGATACGAAACCTACCCTTCGGCGTACATGGTGTTGTTGGCGGTAGGGGCTGTGGGCATGGTGGAGTTGGTAGCGTTCCAGTTGCAGCCCTGAACAGAGAACTGAGACACGGGCGTGGTGATGTTGTGGATGAGGGCTCCAAGTGCAATCCACATGAGGATGCTGATGCTCGCCATGTAGCCACAGAGAGCTCCCTGAAATTGTAACCTGAAACTAGTTTTGTGTTGCTGTGGTCAATGGCTTTCAAAGGAAATGTTCAAACCTTGACATCAGAAGTGCCTCGACTGGCAGCATACAGAGGCTTATGTTTTCAGCGTGCAGTTACTTTCACAGTTGTTTCAGTAGAATGTGTTCCGGTGGATAATTAGACTGGTTAATCTCTAGCGTTGAGGAAACTGTCGAGAACAAAACAACCGCCAAAATATGTTCATCGATGTTTGCACTGGAATCCTTAAGTAACTGAGACATGGTAATACCAAACACGAAATAATTACGTAATATTATTGTATCTAACTATCTACTAAATTTCTAACCCATTTATTGGCTCTAGGGAAGAACATTCCAAGTATGAAGACTCCAAACACAGGTCCGTCCGTGACGCTGAAGGCCACGTAGGAGAGCTGCAACACAAAACAGACATCGCCATGGTTGTCCCACCAGTGGTATTGCAAGAACTGACTAGTGTAATACCTATATTACTACAAGGACAGGCATCGTGTCATACCATTTGTAGTAGGACAGACATCGTGTCATACTATTTGTAATACGACAGACATCGTCACTGACTGGTGTAATACCTATATTACTACAAGGACAGGCATCGTGTCATACCATTTGTAATACGACAGACATCGGCACTGACTGGTGTAATACCTATATTACTACAAGGACAGACATCGTGTCATACCATTTGTAATACGACAGACATCGTCACTGACTGGTGTAATACCTATATTACTACAAGGACAGGCATCGTGTCATACCATTTGTAGTAGGACAGGGATAGTGTCATACCATTTGTAATACGACAGACATCGTCACTGACTGGTGTAATACCTATATTACTACAAGGACAGGCATCGTGTCATACCATTTGTAATAGGACAGACATCGTCACTGACTGGTGTAATACCTATATTACTACAAGGACAGGCATCGTGTCATACCATTTGTAATAGGACAGACATCGTCACTGACTAGTGTAATACCTATATTACTACAAGGACAGGCATCGTGTCATACCATTTGTAATAGGACAGACATCGTCCCTGACTGGTGTCATACTATTTGTAGTAGAAGAACAGACATCGTCACTGACTAGTGTAATACCTATATTACTACAAGGACAGGCATCGTGTCATACCATTTGTAATAGGACAGACATCGGCACTGACTGGTGTCATACTATTTGTAGTAGAAGAACAGACATCGTCACTGACTGGTGTCATATTATTTGTATAGAAGAACAGACATCGTCACTGACTGGTGTCATACTATTTGTATAGGAGAACAGACATCGTCACTGACTGGTGTCATACTATTTGTAATAGAAGAACAGACATCGGCACTGACTGGTGTCATACTATTTGTAGTAGAAGAACAGACATCGTCACTGACTGGTGTCATATTATTTGTATAGAAGAACAGACATCGTCACTGACTGGTGTCATACTATTTGTATAGGAGAACAGACATCGTCACTGACTGGTGTCATACTATTTGTAATAGAAGAACAGACATTCGTCACTGACTGGTGTCATACTATTTGTAAAAGAAGAACAGACATCGTCAGTGACTTGTGTCATACTATTTGTAATAGAAGAACAGACATCGTCACTGACTGGTGTCATACTATTTGTATAGAAGAACAGACATCGTCACTGACTGGTGTCATACTATTTGTAATAGAAGAACAGACATCGTCAGTGACTGGTGTCATACTTTTTGTATAGAAGAACAGACATCGTCAGTGACTTGTGTCATACTATTTGTAGCAGAGGAACAGACATCGTCACTGACTGGTGTCATACTTTTTGTAAAAGAAGAACAGACATCGTCAGTGACTTGTGTCATACTATTGTAATAGAAGGACAGACATCGTCACTGACTGGTGTCATACTTTTTGTAAAAGAAGAACAGACATCGTCAGTGACTTGTGTCATACTATTGTAATAGAAGGACAGACATCGTCACTGACTGGTGTCATACTATTTGTAGTAGAAGGACAGACATCGTCAGTGACTTGTGTCATACTATTTGTAACAGAAGAACAGACATCGTCACTGACTGGTGTCATACTATTTGTAAAAGAAGAACAGACATCGTCACTGACTTGTGTCATACTATTTGTAATAGAAGGACAGACATCGTCAGTGACTTGTGTTATACTATTTGTAATAGAAGAACAGACATCGTCACTGACTGGTGTCATACTATTTGTAGTAGAAGAACAGACATCGTCACTGACTAGTGTAATACCTATATTACTACAAGGACAGGCATCGTGTCATACCATTTGTACTAGGACAGACATCGTCACTGACTAGTGTAATACCTATATTACTACAAGGACAGGCATCGTGTCATACCATTTGTAATAGGACAGACATCGGCACTGACTGGTGTCATACTATTTGTAGTAGAAGAACAGACATCGTCACTGACTGGTGTCATATTATTTGTATAGAAGAACAGACATCGTCACTGACTGGTGTCATACTATTTGTATAGAAGAACAGACATCGTCACTGACTGGTGTCATACTATTTGTAATAGAAGAACAGACATCGTCACTGACTGGTGTCATACTATTTGCATAGAAGAACAGACATCGTCACTGACTGGTGTCATACTATTTGTAGTAGAAGAACAGACATCGTCACTGACTGGTGACATACTATTTGTAAAAGAAGAACAGACATCGTCAGTGACTTGTGTCATACTATTTGTAATAGAAGAACAGACATCGTCACTGACTGGTGTCATACTATTTGTATAGAAGAACAGACATCGTCACTGACTGGTGTCATACTATTTGTAATAGAAGAACAGACATCGTCAGTGACTTGTGTCATACTTTTTGTATAGAAGAACAGACATCGTCAGTGACTTGTGTCATACTATTTGTAGCAGAGGAACAGACATCGTCACTGACTGGTGTCATACTTTTTGTAAAAGAAGAACAGACATCGTCAGTGACTTGTGTCATACTATTTGTAATAGAAGGACAGACATCGTCACTGACTGGTGTCATACTATTTGTAAAAGAAGAACAGACATCGTCAGTGACTTGTGTCATACTATTTGTAAAAGAAGAACAGACATCGTCAGTGACTTGTGTCATACTATTTGTAGTAGAAGGACAGACATCGTCAGTGACTTGTGTCATACTATTTGTAACAGAAGAACAGACATCGTCACTGACTGGTGTCATACTATTTGTAAAAGAAGAACAGACATCGTCACTGACTTGTGTCATACTATTTGTAATAGAAGGACAGACATCGTCAGTGACTTGTGTCATACTATTTGTAATAGAAGAACAGACATCGTCACTGACTTGTGTCATACTATTTGTATAGAAGAACAGACATCGTCACTGACTGGTGTCATACTATTTGTAATAGAAGAACAGACATCGTCACTGACTGGTGTCATACTTTTTGCATAGAAGAACAGACATCGTCACTGACTTGTGTCATACTATTTGTAGCAGAGGAACAGACATCGTCACTGACTGGTGTCATACTTTTTGTAAAAGAAGAACAGACATCGTCAGTGACTTGTGTCATACTATTTGTAATAGAAGGACAGACATCGTTACTGACTGGTGTCATACTATTTGTAAAAGAAGAACAGACATCGTCACTGACTTGTGTCATACTATTTGTAGTAGAAGGACAGACATCGTCAGTGACTTGTGTCATACTATTTGTAACAGAAGAACAGACATCGTCACTGACTTGTGTCATACTATTTGTAAAAGAAGAACAGACATCGTCAGTGACTTGTGTCATACTATTTGTAATAGAAGGACAGACATCGTCACTGACTGGTGTCATACTATTTGTAAAAGAAGAACAGACATCGTCAGTGACTTGTGTTATACTATTTGTAGTAGAAGAACAGACATCGGCAGTGACTTGTGTCATACTATTTGTAACAGAAGAACAGACATCGTCAGTGACTTGTGTCATACTATTTGTAATAGAAGGACAGACATCGTCACTGACTGGTGTCATACTATTTGTAAAAGAAGAACAGACATCGTCAGTGACTTGTGTCATACTATTTGTAAAAGAAGAACAGACATCGTCAGTGACTTGTGTCATACTATTTGTAGTAGAAGGACAGACATCGTCAGTGACTTGTGTCATACTATTTGTAACAGAAGAACAGACATCGTCACTGACTGGTGTCATACTATTTGTAAAAGAAGAACAGACATCGTCACTGACTTGTGTCATACTATTTGTAATAGAAGGACAGACATCGTCAGTGACTTGTGTCATACTATTTGTAATAGAAGAACAGACATCGTCACTGGACTTGTGTCATACTATTTGTATAGAAGAACAGACATCGTCACTGACTGGTGTCATACTATTTGTAATAGAAGAACAGACATCGTCACTGACTGGTGTCATACTTTTTGCATAGAAGAACAGACATCGTCAGTGACTTGTGTCATACTATTTGTAGCAGAGGAACAGACATCGTCACTGACTGGTGTCATACTTTTTGTAAAAGAAGAACAGACATCGTCAGTGACTTGTGTCATACTATTTGTAATAGAAGGACAGACATCGTCACTGACTGGTGTCATACTATTTGTAAAAGAAGAACAGACATCGTCAGTGACTTGTGTCATACTATTTGTAGTAGAAGGACAGACATCGTCAGTGACTTGTGTCATACTATTTGTAACAGAAGAACAGACATCGTCACTGACTTGTGTCATACTATTTGTAAAAGAAGAACAGACATCGTCAGTGACTTGTGTCATACTATTTGTAATAGAAGGACAGACATCGTCACTGACTGGTGTCATACTATTTGTAAAAGAAGAACAGACATCGTCAGTGACTTGTGTTATACTATTTGTAGTAGAAGAACAGACATCGGCAGTGACTTATGTCATACTATTTGTAACAGAAGAACAGACATCGTCACTGACTGGTGTCATACTATTTGTAATAGAAGAACAGACATCGTCACTGACTTGTGTCATACAATACTGAGTCAAAAAAGAAACTTCACAAAATGTAATTTGAAAAGTAATGAATAATTTTTCTCTGATGATACATCTATGTATCCGAAATGGGATCCCTATCTTTCGACTCTAGAAAAACGTTAGCAAAACCCACTCAAACCCATCCATTCGTCGTGCAAATGACGTTAGTGCCAAATCAGGTTTTGCACGTGCAGTCGATAACGTGATCTTTGCATCGAAGTTTTCTTCATATGCACGTGTTTGCATTGGCCTCAAGAATTTAAAAAACACTTTTAAACCACAGTTCTAACGGTACTTGAAATGCCACGATTGTCAAATGTGCAACGTGAACCTGCCGTTGGCATGTTGCAAGCGGGAAGATCAGTTATTGACGTGGCAAGAGCAATGGGAAGCAGCTGTCGTACTGTGTATGACTTGCGAGGTCGTCTACAACAAACTGGCACCACTTCTGATTGCCCAAGGTCGGGTCGTCCTCGACTGGAATCGAGTCGTCTTTAGCGATGAATCCAGGTTTACCCTCAGATTCGCGGACGGCAGGTATAGAGTCTGGAGAAGACGTCGTGAACGGTATGCCCAATGTTGTGTACAGGAAGTCGACAGATTCGGGGGCGGAAGTTGCATGGTGTGGGGTGCTTTCTGTGGGAACAACCGTTCCCGACTTCTGGTTTTCCGTGGAAACCTCACAGCTGCTGCTTACCGCGACCAGGTGCCCACCCCTGAACTCGTTCCTTTCATGGCGGCTCATGGCCCAGGTCTACAGTTCCAGCATGATAATGCTCGGCCGCATACCGCGATGTTGACACGAAATTTCCTTCAAAACGCTGGAATCAACGTCATGGACTGGCCATCGAGGTCCCCTGACCTTAATCCAATAGAGCACGTTTGGGATGCACTTGGGAGAAGGCTTCGTGGTCTGAGGAACCAACCTCAGAATTTGCAGGAACTTGGCGCTGCCTTGCAAGAGCAATGGCGCAGAATCCCCAACCACGTGTTCACAAGCATCAGGCAGTCGATGAGGAGACGGTGTTTGGCAGTGGTGAATGCGCGGGGCGGCCATACACGATATTGAACTGAGAAATTTCGCATTTTTATTCTTGTGACTTGACATTCTGTATACCCATGGTTTGGAACGGCGGTGTAGCCTAATGGAACTGATTATGGCACTGTCAGTGTATCGAGTACATCACACAGATCTCAGCAATGAAATAATAGTGAAATAATAGTGCCTTGAAGAAAGAATGTGAAGTTTCTTTTTTGACTCAGTATATTTGTAATAGAAGGACAGACATCGTCAGTGACTTGTGTCATACTATTTGTAATAGAAGAACAGACATCGTCAGTGACTTGTGTCATGCCATTCTTACTACAAGAACAGACATCATTAGTAACTGGTGTGACTCCATCATTGCTACAAGAACAGGTACCATCACCGACAGTATTACAAAACCATCCTCAGTAACTGGTGTCACTCCATCATTGCTACAAGAACAGGTACCATCACCGACAGTATTACAAAACCATCCTCAGTAACTGATGTGACTCCATCATTGCTACAAGAACAGGTACCATCACCGACAGTATTACAAAACCATCCTCAGTAACTGGTGTCACTCCATCATTGCTACAAGAACAGGTACCATCACCATCCTCAGACATGTATTACAAAACCATCAAAACCATCCTCAGTAACTGGTGTCACTCCATCATTGCTACAAGAACAGGTACCATCACCGACAGTATTACAAAACCATCCTCAGTAACTGGTGTCACTCCATCATTGCTACAAGAACAGGTACCATCACCGACAGTATTACAAAACTACCTCAGTAACTGGTGTCACTCCATCATTGCTACAAGAACAGGTACCATCACCGACAGTATTACAAAACTACCTCAGTAACTGGTGTCACTCCATCATTGCTACAAGAACAGGTACCATCACCGACAGTATTACAAAACCATCCTCATTCACAATGCCAGACATATCAAACATCAATGCCATGATTATTATTAAGAATGAGTCCCTGCAAATCAGTGATAGCATGAGGTATTCTCGAAAACCGAAAACATTGTCTAGAACTTCCGTATGCATCTCAAAGACAGAATCATTAATTGATAGGTGCACATGCTATGTGTTACGTTGACATCTACAACCCTTACAAGCAGATTGGAACTGTACTGCCAATGTAACGGTGAAAATGTGTTGTAGTTTGTATTCACTTTGATATTGTTAATTCATAATGAGGTAGGGGCCCTCAGTACCACTTATTTGGAGTCTCGCCACCTATGGAAGGATAGCCCACAGTACATATTTTCTATCAACTTTTGTTATTGGGTTAAAGTTTACAAAGAAGCCTTACAACATTTCTCATTGGCTGTAAGTTGCAGATCATGTTTTTCATGCAAGACAAGGTGCTCAGTGATTTCATTCTGGCGGGCATCCTCAGGAGAAACACATTTGTTTTGTCTAGAGGAAATTTTGAGGTCCGTCTTATGTATTATAATATATTTTAATAAGTATAAAACGTACACACATATTTCAACTGATTTATGGTATTGTAACGTAGTGTTGTTGGCTGGATGATCAGCTGGCACCAGATCATTTGATTCAGCCCATAGCTTGTAAGTATGTGTAATTCGGTAGTTTCTATTTATAATGCGATTCTCCATAATTTTAATAATTTGAAGTAATGTGTAAGCCATTATAATTAATAGTTGCAATCTATAAATCTTGCAATAAGAATACTGTTATTATTTGGGTCGCCTATATAAGACACAATTACATTTATCCTAAAACTCTTACAGAATTGATGAGTGTTAACACCACGTGGCTTTGGACACATGCCATGCAATAAAGAGCTCTGTCATTCAGCTGGACCTTTGTGATTTCTGGCACTAGCGTTAACCCAGAAGATTCAGTTGGTGACGGGAGTTAGACTCAGTTGGTGACGGGAGTTAGACTCAGTTGGTGACGGGAGTTAGACTCAGTTGGTGACGGGAGTTAGACTCAGTTGGTGACGGGAGTTAGACTCAGTTGGTGACGGGAGTTAGACTCAGTTGGTGACGGGAGTTAGACTCAGTTGGTGACGGGAGTTAGACTCAGTTGGTGACAGGAGTTAGAGTTAGACTCCAGTTGGTGACAGGAAGTTAGACTCAGTTGGTGACAGGAGTTAGACTCAGTTAAGTTAGACGGAAGTTAGACTCAGTTGGTGACGGGAGTTAGACTCCAGTTGGTGACGGGGAGTTAGACTGAATTGAATTGACGGGAAGTTAGACTCAGTTGGTGACGGGAGTTAGACTCAGTTGGTGACGGGAGTTAGACTCAGTTGGTGACGGGAGTTAGACTCAGTTGGTGACGGGAGTTAGACTCAGTTGGTGACGGGAGTTAGACTCAGTTGGTGACGGGAGTTAGACTCAGTTGGTGACGGGAGTTAGACTCAGTTGGTGACGGGAGTTAGACTCAGTTGTTGGTTCTGTTGACAGGCAGCGTGTTATCACTGGTTTCGCTACCCCAGACTCGACGTATTTACACGAATGTGTGGACAGGAACGGTGAAATAAGGCGTTAAATAACATGCGGTAGTTCACCTGTAACAGCGGCCCCAACCTTGATGCAGCGAACGCTAGTCCCACACTGATACCCCCACACACTGCAGCTGAAACACGAGGATAACACGACACATGAAGAACATTACGTAACATTAACACAGAAGGGAGTACGTGTGACACAGTGTTCTATGAATAAATATTTCAAAACTGCGACTAATCTATTTCAACTTTAATTCTGTTTTGTTTTGTACATTTGTATACAGATATTATACACTATTTTGTTTTGCACATATGTATACAGATAGTACTCTATTCATTTACTATAACGCAAAACTATTATTGGTCAGTTCGTCAAAAGCACGACCGCTAATGTCCGAAGTTCTATCAAATTTGTTGAAAACTGCTATCAGGGGAAACCGCGTGCAGGTTCAGCTCCACGTGTTTCACGCAATCAAATCTTCGAAGAAGTACATTGCGTTTGTGCGAATGTTCGTTTGTTTGAAAACATAAACGCACGCGAATATTCTATGTTTACAAACGCAGTTCTCCACAACATTCCCCTACAAATGATAGATCCAAGTCTATCATTTCAAATGAACATATCAATCACCAAATAGCACATTATATACAGACATATTTGGAAACTTATGCAACTAAAGTTCAGTAAAGTCCACACATTTCCTGAAATACAAAGAAAGTTCATCATCCAGTCCTGGAAATATGAAAATAAGCATGTCTGTTCCAAATCATAACACATCGGTAAGTGTACTGTTCATTGTGACAAAACATATTTATTTCCTGAAAAGAAAAACATGTCAATATACAATCAACTGAAATACTTCCCTTGAATGTTTTGGTCTGGAAACCACTTTCTGTTCTGTCTTCGATTCCTTTGCGACATCCATTTATTAACTGTTCTCTGAATCTTCCATCCATGAAAATCTTGAATCCTTCCACCAATCCTTTGAATTCTTCATCCTCGAATTCCACACATGAATTCTTTCAATCCTGTATCCATGAATTTTTCTGTTTCTTAGAAGCCGTCTGCTGCTCCTCTATCCATTGGTTGAATCCTGCTGTTGATCTTCTGTACTGTTCTTGAAGCCTCCTTCGGTGGTAGTTTCTGACACCTTCCATTCCAGTGGACACACCTTTGTCACTGGTCTTGTCCATAACACCTTGATTCGTCTGTATGTCAACAACTCGAACGTGTCCATCTCTCCCTGGATGTGTCTTTATGATTCTTCCTGTGATCCAACTTCCTCTTGAGAATTGCGTGGAGATAACCACAACAACATCGTCGACCCTCAAGATCACGACTTGGTATAAACCATTTCTTCCTTGCTTGTAGTGATGGAAGCCATTCCGACATCCATCGTTTCCAAAGTGGTGTACCAGTTCTTGGACTCTTCGCCACCGTTTTCTCGGACAGAATTCTGCATTATCAACCGACTGTGGAGCAAAGATTCCACCACACTGACCATGAAGAAAGTGATTTGGTGTAAGTGGAACGTCATCATTTGGATGTGTACTTTGGTACGTTAAAGGCCTTGAATTGATCAACGATTCAGCGCCAGTAAAGGCAGTGACTAGTTCTTCATCAGTAATGTCACCATTGCCTAGGATTGCATATATAGCTCTTTTTGAGGACTTGATCATTGCTTCAAAAGCACCACCAAAATGTGGAGCATATGGTGGGTTGAATTTCCAAACAACTCCACGATTTGCCAATGAACTTTGGATATATTTTCCATCAAGTCTGTCGACAAGTACTTTCCAGCTCTTTAACAGCTCCTGTAAAATTTGTACCATTATCTGGCACACCACTACACTTTGGCAAACTATCTACGGTTTACCATCCTGTAAAAGGCATTGAGGAATGTGAGGTCGCTATCAAGACTATATGCCATTTCCAAGTGCACAGCTCTCTGTTGCCAAGCATGTAAATAGACAAAGGAATAACAGCTTAACTCGTTGTTTCCTCACCACCTTGTATCGTAATGAACGGTCCTGCAGAAATCAACACCAGTTTGATCAAATGCCCTTAATGAGTACTTCAAGTCTAACCTGTGGAAGTGGAGCCATAATTTGAACAACAGGCTTTGCCTTAAGTCTGCGACACCATGAACATTCCTTTCATATTCACGGATCCTTCACGAGCAGAAATGATCCAATAACGTGCAGATAGTAAAGCAAAAGGATCTGGTTTGTACCAATGATGCCTTTCCATCTTCATGGCATTTTCTTCACTATCAACTTAGTTACCCAGTTTCTTCTTGGCAATGCCTATGGGGAACTTTGCATCAAATGGTAGAAATGTGGCATGCTGCAGTCTACCTCTCATTCTGATCAACCCATCTTCACATCAAGCATGGGATCCAGTCCAAGGAGTTTACTGCTTGCGCCGACAGTTGTTTCCTATTTTCCAGAGCCGAGACCTCCTTTGTTAAATTCTTCGGTGCACGGGCTTATGTGATAGATCTCTGCATCAAGAAGCTCTTTCATAGAAGTAAGTTCTCCTGAGATTCTCAAACTTAGTTCAGACCGACTGTTGTTCACGAATCTCCAAACCCATGCTGTAATCCTCAGTAGTTTTGCCGAATCTGAATATCTCCTTGCATCAAGCCGCCAACACCAGTCAGATGTCACTATTGTAAATGACTGCCTTTTCATTTCTACGCGCAATTTTGTTTCCTGATCATCTGATGCTTGTGTGATCACTGTTTGTGTCGGTTCTGCCAACTCATCCTCTACCAGAAAGTCAGGCCCTTGACATCCATGCTTTGCTTTTAAGACTAGCAATTGTTGCACCCCTCTAGATAGAGTATCTGCTGGATTTTGAAGAGAAGGAATGTACCTTCCACTGACTGGGAATAGTATGTTCTTGGATAAAAGCTACACGATTGGCTACAAATGTTTTGAATTTGGTGGCTATGGTTTTTATCCAACACAGCACATTTACTATCTGACCAAAGTGTCACAGCAGCAATATTCATTTCAAGAGCTTTAATAACAATCAAGATCAACCTGACTCCTAATACTGCTGCCATCAACTCCATTCGAGGAATGCTGACTGATTTGAGAGAGGTGCCACTCGACTCTTTGATGCTGTCAACCGACTAGACCCATGTCCCATTTTGATAGGTAGTCACACTGTATACGACTGCCCCATATGCACTTTCTGATGCATCAACGAAAACATGCAATTTCTTGTTTTCAATGTCCAAAACTGTACTGCAAGCACCTTGGAAATCTAAGCAACACTTCCCAACTCGTTCACTTGACTGAGCCAAAGCAATGCCTTTTTGTTTCAAATCAGTTTGCAGCTCTTCATCCCAATCTAAACCCTTTAAGCCAGATTTCCTGCATTATGATTTTGGCTGTGATGATGAATGGTGCCAGGAATCCTAATGGGTCGAACACTTTAGCCAATTCCCTCTTAGGAAACCTCTCTTTGTAAGTATCCAGTTGCTATGTGCATTGGTATTATGAAAGCTGAACTCGTCATCTTTAGCAACCCATGTCAAACCAAGTGTTTTGGCAGTAGGCAAGTCATCTCTACCAAGATCGACCTCAGTAGCCCTGTTCTCTATGGGGATTCTCTGTAATACTTCAGGAGAGTTGCTTAACCACTTTCTAGCACACATACCTGCATTTCCCCACAACTCAGTAAGCTGCTCATACAGCTCAATGGCTTCGAGCTCATTCCTCAGCGAGTCTATGTTGTCATCCATGTACGTAGATTGTAATACAGTTTCAGCAGCTTTGGTAGAGTACCTTGAAATCGTCGGGCATGTTCTTTGTGTAATGTACTGAGCCAAAACGGAGAAGCATTGACCCCAAAGACTACTCTTGAGAACTGGTAAACATCTGGTATTTCATTCTGATTGTTTTTGACCTCCAAAGAAATCGAAAGAATGACTTGTCTTTTGGCAACATTTCGATTTGAAGATACATTTCTGCGATGTCGCAAACTATTGCTACTGGGTGCCTTCTAAAGCGAAGCAATATCTGAAAGAGGTCACCTTGTAATTTTGGACCTTGGTTAATAGTGTCATTCAGTGATATGCCTTCACATTTTGCGGATGCATCAAAGACAATTCGGACCTTCGTAGTTTCCTATCTGACGCACAACAGGAAAATGAGGTAAGTAACCATATCCACGTGATGAACCGTTTTCATCAGGAGACACCTTTTCAATGTAACCTTTCTCAATATACTGGATATGATACCATCATATGTTACAGCAACCTGTTTGTTCTTTGGATAACTTCTTCTCTGTGCTACAGAGACGTTTGTAAGCTATGTCCCAGTTGTCTGGTAAGGACCTACACTTTCCCTTCCAAAGGAATGCCAATTTGATATCTGCCATTTCAAACTTAACTGTTTTTCTCACTGATGCTATGACACATTCATCATCCTTGGTAAGGGTTGATGTCAAAGATGGAACTTCATCAATGTCCCAGAGTTTCTGTAACATTGTACCAATTCAATTCTCCCTACTGTTAGAGAAGTATGTACCTGAATTGTGACAGCCATCACTTAATCCTTCTTGTATCCTCCCAACACAGGTCCATCCTAATGGAGTCAGTCGTGCTATTGGATCCGTACCTCTTGGCCAGTGATATCCTGATAGGACCTATGTAGTTCAAGATAATCCATGCCAATGAGGAGATCTATGATATGAGGAGACTTTAACCTTGGGAAACTCAATGTTTTCAAGATGTTTCTACCTACCTGCAAACTTCCGCCAATCAACAACTTGCATCCGTCCAGTAACCCTAGTTGTTGTTAAGGCAGATAGTGTAGTATTGACCCGACCCATCCAAACTCTCTAAGCCAACCTGAACTGTCATGGTGTCTAGCATTTCATGTTGCCCATTGAGGACATTAACAGAAACTTTCTGGCGCTGGACCAGATAAACCCTAATTCTAAGGCTGCATCCCTATTGATATAAGTCTGTGTACTGGCATCATCCAATAGTGCATTAACAACAATTCTTTTGTTCCCATTCTTAAGTACTACTGGCACTGTCCTCAATGACACCAACGTTGACTTGCTGGATTCAGATGAGGACATAGTAACTTCCTGATGGACACTGACTGTCGTGCTGCTTATTAGTTTTAGTTTCCAATAACATCACATCTTTGTTGAGTGAAGAAACTCCCATTGTGTGATGCAGTTGCGGCTATCTATTCCATGTGATTCTACGGTTACAACTGTTAGCACGGTGGTTAGTGCCAGACATCTGAAGCTAAAGGTTTAAATGTTTAGCAGTTTCCCATCTATCCGGGAACACTCATCAATTTGAACTGTTTACACTTCCAAATGTGATGGCAGCTTTTACAGAGAGCACACTGAGCACTCATGTCAGTCTGGCCATCACCAAAGAACGGAACCTGGATTTGTTCTGACCTCTAGCTGTAGTCTTTCCTTCTCGCGGTAGACCATAATGTTTCTGATGCCATAACACTAAATTCAGCCTCTTGCAACACCCACTCACGCAATGTTTCAACTGACTCTTGGCGTTCTCGGATCAAAGACCCATCTGTGATAGCTTCAGTTAACATGGATTCTTGTCATTTTCTTCAGTAGCTGATTGTATAATGCTCCACTGCCTAACTCTCTTCTAGTCTGTCAGTATCTCTGAGATTTATGACAACTATGTCCAGCATGTCTGCATAATTCCTCAATATCCTTTTGCACATTGCCAGGACGAATTGGCCTAAAGTTTGACACTTCCTCCAACTGCAACGTAATTTGGCGTCTTTAAGCCACCATACTTCCTTTCTAATCTATCCAGTGCTACCTCACATGCAGCCGCACTATGACCCAAAGTCTTGTATGACTTTCATTGCGTCCCCTGTGATGTACTGACGTAACTGTAAAAGCTTGTACTCAGCTGTAGCTGGAGCATTGTTATTACACAGGCCATGCCGCTTTAAAACCTTCATATGATTTGGCATCACCCGAAAAGTAGAGATGGAAACGCGTCTCAATTGTTTCCACATATCATTTCCCAAATTGTAACCTACTCTCGAATCTGCTACAATATCGGCGGATGCTGCATGCCCCTACATGCGTTTGTGTAGGGTTTTGACTCCTAGTCATGTGACCTAAATCACTTGCACTGATCTGTTCCCTCTGACCTGAGTTAGCATCAACGAATGGCTCAACATGTGGTTCCAATTGTTCTATGTGAGAAGTGACAACAGGAATATACTTTTCTTTTTTTCAACCTGCTTTACAGTCCTGGTCAATCTAGATACTCCAGTTCTACCACACTGCTAAATGAGCCTCTCGCATCGGACCTAGCTCTCAAACACTCTTGAGCTCGTTCTTGCACTCCATTCTAATTACGTCGATTTGGGTGACCTCGTCTTTCGAAACTTTTAATCATGTTATTTCTTTTTATCTCCTATCGTTTGGAATGTTTCAGCCACGCCATGTTCCATACTCTTCTGATAGCCTGGAAGCTGACGATCATTAACTGTCGGTCAATTGCATTTCTCATTTCCGTCCGAGCCACCACCCCATTCTGTTCATCAATAAGTTTTTCAAGTCTATTCGTTGCTTTTAGTAAAATGCAGATTTGGCTATATAGCCTTTTGCGTTTAAGATCTACCTTTTATCTGGTCCCTCGCATGGTCAGGGCAGCCATTATCAATCTGTTTTGTTCCTGTTTGTGACATGTTCAGTGTATGCAACTAACCAACTAACCATGAACTAATCAAACCGCATCATCGTTTCACTACCAACGCTTCTGTTGTAAACACGGACTTAATTTCAACTTACCTTAATAAGTGTCCACACAAAAACACAAGTACGATGGTATGAAGACTGTACCCATATACCCAGATAAGGCAACAATAGAAGCTACACAACCACGCTCTGCTACCATTTTGTTACGCAGTGTTCTATGAATAAATATTTCAAAACTGCGACTAATCTATTTCAACTTTAATTCTGTTTTGTTTTGTACATTTGTATACAGATAATACACTATTTTGTTTTGCACATATGTATACAGATAGTACTCTATTCATTACTATAACGCAAAACTATTATTGGTCAGTTCGTCAAAAGCACGACCGCTAATGTCCGAAGTTCTATCAAATTTGTTGAAAACTGCTATCGGGAAACCGCGTGCAGGTTCAGCTCCACGTGTTTCACGCAATCAAATCTTCCGGGAAGTACATTGCGTTTGTGCGAATGTTCGTTTGTTTGAAAACATAAACGCACGCGAATATTCTATGTTTACAAACGCAGTTCTCCACAACAGAGAGTTACGTGTGACATAACGTAATAAAAATGACACAACATAGTACATGTGCCACAACACAATACACAGACATTTTCAGTGACTGAGGTCATACCATTCTTACAAGAACAGGCATCGTCACTAACTGGTGTCATGGAATTATTCCTAACAGGACACCATCACCGATGTATAACATGATACATGTGACACACAACGCAATACTTGTTACACATAACATCATACATGTCACACAAAATATACTACGTTTTACACAAAAGCAGAATACGAAATATTTAACACAAAACTGTCTTGCACGGAGTTGGCTAAATCCGTCAGAGGGATCTGTTTGGTGGCAACTATGACTTGAGTACACAAGGAACCCTGCTAGGAACCCTGCAGCCATGCTATTCATTATTCTATGTGTCTATATAGTGTCTGCACCATGGACGTAAGGTTTCACGTGGAGTCTAGTTTGGTACTAGGTGCTCATGTTCACAAGAATCATAAGCACGATGTGAACACAGCACATGTCGTTTGTTGTGCATGTTTATGTATGTCTCGCTGTGTTTTTACGCACGTGACCTCTGCTCGTGTAATTGCTCCAGGCATCAACAGGGGTTCAGCACAATGTACCAATCTTCCATAACAAAGCGATTTTAACAGACACTTCCTGCGTGAATAATTATTTGATTCACACCAAAATGGCTTTCCTCATCTCTGTCCTAAACAGGCCTGCCTTTAGCACCTACTTGTCGCCTTGGTAATGACAGTTGCTGTGAAGTTGTTGATGTTACAGCTGCAGAAAGGTCGGATGTAGTCCTGTAGCACCACCGCCGACACAGCATTCATCCCGGATGAGAGAGTGCTGGAAGTGATGACTGGAGGTAACAGGTGGTAACAGTAGACTTCAGGGAGAAGTTGTCAGACTACATTGTATGTTATGTTAACACCTGGTGAGAGAGTGCTGGAAGTGATGACTGGAGGTAACAGGTGGTAACAGTAGACTTCAGGGAGAAGTTGTCAGACTACATTGTAGGTTATGTTAACACCTGGTGAGAGAGTGCTGGAAGTGATGACTGGAGGTAACAGGTAACACAGTAGACTTCAGGTAGAAGTTGTCAGACTACATTGTATGTTATGTTAACACCTGGTGAGAGAGTGCTGGAAGTGATGACTGGAGGTAACAGGTGGTAACAGTAGACTTCAGGGAGAAGTTGTCAGACTACATTGTATGTTATGTTAACACCTGGTGAGAGAGTGCTGGAAGTGATGACTGGAGGTAACAGAAGACTGGTCACAGTAGAAGTTGTCAGACTACATTGTATGTTATGTTAACACCTGGTGAGAGAGTGCTGGAAGTGATGACTGGAGGTAACAGGTGGTAACAGTAGACTTCAAGGAGAAGTTGTCAGACTACATTGTATGTTATGTTAACACCTGGTGAGAGTGCTGGAAGTGATGACTGGAGGTAACAGGTGGTAACAGTAGACTTCAAGGGAGAAGTTGTCAGACTACATTGTATGTTATGTTAACACCTGGTGAGAGTGCTGGAAGTGATGACTGGAGGTAACAGGTGGTAACAGTAGACTTCAGGGAGAAGTTGTCAGACTACATTGTATGTTATGTTAACACCTGGTGAGAGAGTGCTGGAAGTGATGACTGGAGGTAACAGTAGACTTCAGGTAGAAGTTGTCAGACTACATTGTATGTTATGTTAACACCTGGTGAGAGAGTGCTGGAAGTGATGACTGGAGGTAACAGGTGGTAACAGTAGACTTCAGGGAGAAGTTGTCAGACTACATTGTATGTTATGTTAACACCTGGTGAGAGAGTGCTGGAAGTGATGACTGGAGGTAACAGGTGGTAACAGTAGACTTCAGGTAGAAGTTGTCAGACTACATTGTATGTTATGTTAACACCTGGTGAGAGAGTGCTGGAAGTGATGACTGGAGGTAACAGGTGGTAACAGTAGACTTCAGGGAGAAGTTGTCAGACTACATTGTATGTTATGTTAACACCTGGTGAGAGAGTGCTGGAAGTGATGACTGGAGGTAACAGGTGGTAACAGTAGACTTCAGGGAGAAGTTGTCAGACTACATTGTATGTTATGTTAACACCTGGTGAGAGAGTGCTGGAAGTGATGACTGGAGGTAACAGGTGGTAACAGTAGACTTCAGGGAGAAGTTGTCAGACTACATTGTATGTTATGTTAACACCTGGTGAGAGAGTGCTGGAAGTGATGACTGGGTAACAGGTGGTAACAGTAGACTTCAGGGAGAAGTTGTCAGACTACATTGTATGTTATGTTAACACCTAGTGAGAGAGTGCTGGAAGTGATGACTGGACGTAAACGGTAAACGTCAGGGAGAAGTTGTCAGACTACATTGTATGCTATGTTAACACCTGGAGAGAGAGTGCTGGAAGTGATGACTGGAGGCAACAGGTGGTAACAGTAGACTGCAGGGAGAAGTTGTCAGACTACATTGTATGTTATGTTAACACCTGGTGAGAGAGGGCTGGAAGTCTTGACTGGAGGTAACAGTAGACTTCAGGGAGAAGTTGTCAGACTACATTGTATGTTATGTTAACACCTGGTGAGAGAGTGCTGGAAGTGATGACTGGAGGTAACAGTAGACTACAGGGAGAAGCTGTCAGACTACATTGTATGTTATGTTAACACCTGGAGAGAGAGTGCTGGAAGTGATGACTGGAGGTAACGGGTGGTAACAGTAGACTACAGGGAGAAGTTGTCAGACTACATTGTATATTATGTTAACACCTGGTGAGAGAGTGCTGGAAGTGATGACTGGAGGTAACAGGTGGTAACAGTAGACTTCAGGGAGAAGTTGTCAGACTACATTGTATGTTATGTTAACACCTGGTGAGAGAGTGCTGGAAGTGATGACTGGAGGTAACAGGTGGGAAACAGTAGACTTCAGGAGAGGTTGTCAGACTACATTGTATATTATGTTAACACCTGGTGAGAGAGTGCTGGAAGTGATGACTGGAGGTAACAGGTGGTAACAGTAGACTTCAGGTAGAAGTTGTCAGACTACATTGTATGTTATGTTAACACCTGGAGAGAGAGTGCTGGAAGTGATGACTGGAGGTAACAGGTGGTAACAGTAGACTTCAGGTGAGAAGTTGTCAGACTACATTGTATGTTATGTTAACACCTGGTGAGAGAGTGCTGGAAGTGATGACTGGAGGTAACAGTAGACTTCAGGGAGAAGTTGTCAGACTACATTGTATGTTATGTTAACACCTGGTGAGAGAGTGCTGGAAGTGATGACTGGAGGTAACAGTAGACTTCAGGAGAAGTTGTCAGACTACATTGTATGTTATGTTAACACCTGGTGAGAGAGTGCTGGAAGTGATGACTGGAGGTAACAGTAGACTTCAGGGAGAAGTTGTCAGACTACATTGTATGTTATGTTAACACCTGGTGAGAGAGTGCTGGAAGTGATGACTGGAGGTAACAGGTGGTAACAGTAGACTTCAGGGAGAAGTTGTCAGACTACATTGTATGTTATGTTAACACCTGGTGAGAGAGTGCTGGAAGTGATGACTGGAGGTAACAGGTGGTAACAGTAGACTTCAGGGAGAAGTTGTCAGACTACATTGTATATTATGTTAACACCTGGTGAGAGTGCTGGAAGTGATGACTGGAGGTAACAGGTGGTAACAGTAGACTTCAGGAGAAGTTGTCAGACTACATTGTATATTATGTTAACACCTGGTGAGAGAGTGCTGGAAGTGATGACTGGAGGTAACAGGTATAGACTTCAGGGAGAAGTTGTCAGACTACATTGTATGTTATGTTAACACCTGGTGAGAGAGTGCTGGAAGTGATGACTGGAGGCAACAGTGGTACTAGACAGGGAGAAGTTGTCAGACTACATTGTATGTTATGTTAACACCTGGTGAGAGAGTGCTGGAAGTGATGACTGGAGGTAACAGGTGGTAACAGTAGACTTCAGGAGAAGTTGTCAGACTACATTGTATGTTATGTTAACACCTGGTGAGAGAGTGCTGGAAGTGATGACTGGAGGTAACAGGTGGTAACAGTAGACTACAGGGAGAAGTTGTCAGACTACATTGTATGTTATGTTAACACCTGGTGAGAGAGTGCTGGAAGTGATGACTGGAGGTAACAGGTGGTAACAGTAGACTACAGGGAGAAGTTGTCAGACTACATTGTATGTTATGTTAACACCTGGTGAGAGAGTGCTGGAAGTGATGACTGGAGGTAACAGGTGGTAACAGTAGACTTCAGGTAGAAGTTGTCAGACTACATTGTATGTTATGTTAACACCTGGTGAGAGAGTGCTGGAAGTGATGACTGGAGGTAACAGGTGGTAACAGTAGACTTCAGGTAGAAGTTGTCAGACTACATTGTATGTTATGTTAACACCTGGAGAGAGTGCTGGAAGTGATGACTGGAGGTAACAGGTGGTAACAGTAGACTTCAGGCGAGATGTTGTCAGACTACATTCTATATTATGTTAACACCTGGTGAGAGTGCTGGAAGTGATGTCTGGAGGTAACAGGTGGTAGTAGACTTCAGGGGAGAAGTTGTCAGACTACATTGTATGTTATGTTAACACCTGGAGAGAGAGTGCTGGAAGTGATGACTGATAACAGGTGGTAACAGTAGACTTCAGGGAGAAGTTGTCAGACAACATTGTATATTATGTTAACACCTGGTGAGAGAGTGCTGGAAGTGATGACTGGAGGTAACAGGTGGTAACAGTGAGACTTCAGGGAGAAGTTGTCAGACTACATTGTATGTTATGTTAACACCTGGTGAGAGAGTGCTGGAAGTGATGACTGGAGGTAACGGGTGGTAACAGTAGACTTCAGGGAGAAGTTGTCAGACTACATTGTATGTTATGTTAACACCTGGTGAGAGAGTGCTGGAAGTGATGACTTGAGGTAACAGGTGGTAACAGTAGACTTCAGGAAGAAGTTGTCAGACTACATTGTATATTATGTTAACACCTGGAGAGAGAGTGCTGGAAGTGATTACTGGAGGTAACAGGTGGTAACAGTAGACTTCAGGGAGAACTTGTCAGACTACATTGTATATTATGTTAACACCTGGTGAGAGAGTGCTGGAAGTGATGACTGGAGGTAACGGGTGGTAACAGTAGACTTCAGGTAGAAGTTGTCAGACTACATTGTATGTTATGTTAACACCTGGAGAGAGAGTGCTGGAAGTGATGACTGGAGGTAACAGGTGGTAGCAGTAGACTTCAGGTAGATGTTGTCAGACTACATTGTATATTATGTTAACACCTGGTGAGAGAGTGCTGGAAGTGATGATTGGAGGTAACGGGTGGTAACAGTAGGCTTCAGGTAGATGTTGTCAGACTACATTGTATGTTATGTTAACACCTGGCGAGAGAGTGCTGGAAGTGATGACTCGAGGTAACAGGTGGTAACAGTAGACTTCAGGAAGAAGTTGTCAGACTACATTGTATATTATGTTAACACCTGGCGAGAGAGTGCTGGAAGTGATGACTGGAGGTAAGAATAGACTTCAGGGAGAAGTTGTCAGACTACATTGTATGTTATGTTAACACCTAGTGAGAGAGTGCTGGAAGTGATGACTGGACGTAAACGGTAAACGTCAGGGAGAAGTTGTCAGACTACATTGTATGTTATGTTAACACCTGGTGAGAGAGTGCTGGAAGTGATGACTGGAGGCAACAGTAGACTGCAGGGAGAAGTTGTCAGACTACATTGTATGTCATGTTAACACCTGGTGAGAGAGTGCTGGAAGTGATGACTGGAGGCAACAGTAGACTGCAGGGAGAAGTTGTCAGACTACATTGTATGTTATGTTAACACCTGGTGAGAGAG